AATGAGGGCATGAGCATGGGTGTGTGACCCCATTCACCATGCAACCCCACCAGCTGCCCCATGAGGCACTCGGGAGTGCCCTCCTGGTGGTGTGGTGCTCAAAGCCTTTGAATGCTAGCCTAAAGCTGGAGGCTTGAACTTACCTCCTTCTCGGGGTGAGTAAGGTGAGGCCATAGGTCCTCTCCTGTATGGACCTGCAGCCTCAGAGCCCTGAGGGGGGACCCTCTGTTTTTGAGGGCAGTGTGTATAGAATTTGATTCTCAGTAAAGGGGTCCTACTCAGGACCCCAGGCCACAGCTCTTGTCCCATTATTTTGTCATACTGTAGTGGTCACTACTCTGTCCAGTGTGGAGAGGCCTGCTCCCCACCTCAGGGGACTTTAGCTGGAAGTCCTGTGGGCAGTTCTGCTCTGTCACCTGGGTACTGTGAGTGGGATCAACAGGACAGCAGCCAGCAATGACCCCAAACTGGAAGCCTGTGTGTGGGCCCCATCACTGTGTGTCCCCAAGACACTGGGTCCTGTCCTCAGTCCTGCATGCAGGCCGATGTCCCCAGATGCCAGCCTGCGTGGGGGCCCGGTCCTCAGTCCTGCATGCAGGCCGATGTCTCCAGACTTGGCGTCACCCCCTTTTTCATGTACTCGCTCAGAGTCAGCACCATCTGCCAGGACAGCTGGGAGAGGACAGGGGCCTTTCAGGGCTGTCCCCAGAGAGCGGCCTCCCCTGCCCACTCCCAGTCCTCAGCTCCTCCATCCCATCAGCCCCCACGCATCTGAGCCTCATCCTCTCAGGAGCCCTCCCCTCCTGCTGTCAGGGGAGACTCGGGTGACAAGCCATTCAGCCCCAAGTGGACTCAGATGCCACTTTCCGGAGCCCCTGTCAGCAGAATGATTAGAAGACTGACAGGAAGATGGGCCCACCATGCATCTGTTGTGGGGAGGCTGTGTCCGGAATGGACCCTGCCCAGCCCTGCAGAGAACCCCAGCCCAGTTAGCAGAACAATGACAGAGCATCAGACTGTCTTCAGTGGGGAGGCCGTGTCTAGAGTGGACCCTGCCGTGGCCCTGCAGACCACCCAGTGTAGTTAGCAGGACAGTGATAGCTTGTCAGACCATCTTCAGTGGGGAGGCTGTATCCGGAGTGGACCTTGTCCTGGGCCGTGGGGAGGACCCAGCCCAGCTAGCAGGATGGTTACAGAGCATGAGAACATTCACTGCTGCCTGCGGTCCTCTCATTCTGGCTCACTCAGTTTCCTTTGTGACCTCGTGCTCATTTGCCTCAAGCTGTGAGCCACCCCTGACTCTGCAAGCAGCATGTCAGTATAGGGTGGGCCGTGAAGCCCCCAACTCTGCGGTGGCTTGATCTGAAGTGGTGAAACCCAGGCCCTCCGCCCGAGCCAAGGCCCATCGGTCTCCCCGTGGAGTTGCTGGGGGGTTAACACCCTTGACCTTTGCCTCCCATCACCATGAGCTTGACCTCACTTCCCCCTGAGCAAGCCCTCCCCTCCCCTCCCTTCCCTTTGGCAACCCCTCCTTGATTTCTGCTGCCTTCACCTCCAGGAGTGGATGGAGATGTCAGAGTGTGGTTGAGGCCTGTCCTCACTGGAGAGTGTGGCCTTCTCATGACCAGCAGTGTCCCCTGTGTGGCTGGGATGCTGTGTGCCCACTCCTCTGCTGCCTGGCCCCCAGCTCTGTGGGTGCTGTCCCTTGCGTGGCCGGGACGCTGTGTGCCCACCCCTGTGCTTCCTGGCCACTGGCTGTCATCAGAGGCACTGTGGGTGCTGTCCCCTGTGTGGCCAGGGATGCAGTTACCCATCTGTGCTGCCTGGCCACCAGCTGTCATGGGAGGCACTGTGGACACTGTCCCCTGCGTGGCTGGGACACTGTGTGCCCACCTCTCTGCTGCCTGGCCACTGGCTGTCATCAGAGGCACTGTGGGTGCTGTCCCCTGTGTGGCTGGGACACTGTGTGCCCACCTCTCTGCTGCCTGGCCACCAGCTGTCATGGGAGGCACTGTGGGCACTGTCCCCTGCGTGGCTGGGACACTGTGTGCCCACCTCTCTGCTGCCTGGCCACTGGCTGTCATCAGAGGCACTGTGGGTGCTGTCCCGTGTGTGGCCAGGGACGCTGTTACCCGTCTCTGTGCTGCCCGGCCACCGGCTGTCATGGGAGGCACTGTGGGTCCTGCCCCCAGGCACACGGGGCCCCATATCCTCTCCCCTACCCTCTACAGTGATGAGTTGAGCAGTTTGAACAGCTGCCATCATGGGCCAACTTTCGGAAGGAGACCCCCAGAGCTTTCCTGGGCCTCTCAGTGTGGAAGCCCCTCTGAATTGTGTTCAGCACCACAGGCCCCAGGCAGGTGGGGGGTGGTGCTTGCAAGTGTTGGTCTCCCACAGTGGAGGTGGGCAGCACAGGGACAGCAGGGAGACACCCCCTCAAGAGCTGAGTCTCTCCTCCTTTCTCGCCTTTGGGAAGCTGCAGGCACCATCAACCCACACTCCCCATCCAGACCCCAACCTGTGATGGCACAGGGTGTAGGGAGGGAGGAAGGGAGGGGGGGCCAGGTAGGGGGGAGTGTGAGAGAGGGAGGGAGGGACAGGTGAGGGGGATGTGAGAGAGGGAGGGAGTTGGGACAGGTGTTAAGACTGTGAGAGGGAGGGAGGGACAGGTGAGGGGGATGTGAGAGAGGGATAGGAGGGGGGAGTATGAGAGAGGAAGGGAGTTAGGACAGGCGGTGAGGGAAGAGTGTGAGAGAGGGCAGGAGGGACAGGTGATGGGGGGAGTGTGAGAGAGGGGCTCATGGGGAAGGGCTGTGCCTTCAGACCCCGAGACGTGGCATTGTCCAGCTGGCAGCAGTTTCTTGCCCCGTCCCCTTGACCGTGTGGTATTGGTGATCAAACCCTCAGTCTAGGCTCCGCTTGCTCCTCCATTCATAGCCTCTGTCCCCACAGGCAGGGCAACAGTCCCAGGAGACAGTTGATGGAGCTGGTAGCCAAGGTTGACTACAGGGTCATCTGTTGCTACACCCAGGGCTTTTGTGGTGCCCTGCTCCTCATGTCTCCCCTCCACCCTTGTGCTGGAATAGAAAGATCCCTGTGTCAGTGCTGTGGGTGACCTGTGTCCATCCGGCTCATGGTGACTTTGCAAGACAGCATAGCTGTGACCCTCCCTGCCTGACAGCATAGCTGTGACCCTGCATGACAGCATAGCTGTGACCCTGCATGACAGCATAGCTGTGACCCTGCATGACAGCATAGCTGTGACCCTGCATGACAGCATAGCTGTGACCCTGCATGACAGCATAGCTGTGACCCTGCATGACAGCAAAGCTGTGACCCTACCTGACAGCATAGCTGTGACCCTGCATGACAGCATAGCTGTGACCCTCCCGCCTGACAGCATAGCTGCGCTGCAGGGCTCTTCAGGGTGGGGGGAGTGGAGGGGGCAGAGCACCAGGTCTGTGTCCTGAAGAGCCACTTGGTGGCTGTGAACCACTGACCTTGTGGTTAGCAGCCGAGCAACACAGAAATCCTAAATTAAAAACCAGCAAACAGACACCAGGATCTTCCCCTGGAAACACACAGCGGGTCGTCCTGGGAGTAGAAGCGTGGCAGGGCGTCATTTCACCCCCTAAAAGCCGATGGAGGAGGCCCTGGTGCGCTCTCCAAGCATGCGAGCTGTCCACCACGTCCAGTACCCAGTCCTGACCCCTGTGTTGTTGTGTGCTGCCAAGTCAGATCCGACCTGCAGCTGACCCTCCAGCGGGTTTTCGGAGCAGTAAACCGCATGGAAGGGAATTGCCCATCCTTCTCCAGCGGGGCAGCTGGTGGATTCAAACCACGTGCCTTTAGGTGGGCAGCACAGCTCCTTACCACTAGACCACCAGAGCATGATTCTTGATTATTATTAAAGAAAGACAGTGAAAATCAGTTGCTGAATACTTTCTCATCAGGGGCAAAGCCAGGTGTGACGTTCCTGGGGAACTGAGTGTCCAGATGCCACGTCTTTCTTGACACTCAGGTGGCACAGCCTTCAGGCCATCGAGCTGTGGCATCTGGGCAGCCTGGCTGTGGACTCAAAGCCAGGAAGGAGCCAGGTGTCTGTCCAGATCCCCCAGGATCTTCTGGTTGACCTGGTGTCATAGGGGTGTCGTCCACATTCTCCTTGTCCACGGTGCTCAAGGGGACCCTGTGCACAGTACAGCCTCCAGACCTCGCTGTCCCTGGGACCAGTGTAGACCCCACTGTGGGCACCGTAGACTGTTCACCGAGAGAGCTCCAGATCTTTCTTCCTCATCTGTCACAGCCTAGAAGCTCTGCCCCAACCTGTTCCCTATCAGCAGCTCAGGCCCCCTGAGGGGCAGGTGGAGGCTGGGCATCCGGGGCCTCAGCAGGGAATCAAACTTGAGTTTCCCACACAGAAGGCAAGAACTCTTATCACTGAGCAGGCATCCTGGTCCCTTAGAGACTGGTGGAACCCCAGGACTGTGACCCTGAGTCGCCTTTAAAACGTGGAGCAGAACTCACCCACATGTCTTCACTTTCAGCCAAACAATTATTGTTCTTGTGCCATTTCCTCCTCTGAACACCCCCTAGAGGGTCAGCTGTAGGTTGGTTCTGACTCCATGGCACACAACAACAATAAGGTGACCAACCACAGAAGGTCCCAGGGCGGCACTTGCTGGTGGAGGAAGCCCAGATGGTGGGAGGGAGAGGAGATTGGGCTGAGTGGAGATGAGAACGCCAGGGCGGAGTGGGGAGAGGGGTTTGCAGTGTGTCCTGAATGCGTCCTGAGTGCCTGTGAGCCGCTGAGTGGAAAACCGATTGGCCTTGTAAACTTTGACTGAGAGTCTGGTGACAGCCAAACCCGGGTCATGCTGGAGGCTGCCGCTGCCCGCCTTCCGAGCCGGAGAGCTTTGTCCGGCTAACGCGGATGCCACGAGAAAGGGCCCTGTTATGACATCTCCCAGTCACACCCTGTCCCCTCCTCTCTCCCAGCTATGGAAGAGTTAATCGTTGAACTGCGGCTCTTCCTGGAACTGCTGGACCACGAGCACCTGACGTCCACCGTCCGTGAGAAGAAAGCCGTGATTGCCAGCATTCTGCTGAGGATCCAAGCCTCCAGAGGTGAGTGTGTCCTCCCAGCCACTCCAGTGGCTCTGGGTGCCCACCCACCGGGTGTGTCCTCTCGTGGAGACACTGGGCCTACTCACTGGTTCACTGACCGTCTGTCCAGCTCTGAGGATGGGCGGGCCTGGCCTGTGACTAGGACATAGTTCACCATCGGTCCAGCTCTGAGGACCGGCAGGCCTGGGCTGTGTGCCAGGCTGTGTGTAGTACATAGTGAGCAGGTCCTGGTCACTGGTTCACTGACCGTCTGTCCAGTTCCGGAGATGAGCAGCCCGTGCTCGCTGCAGACTGTGCGTCTTGGTAGAGTGCACAGGATCCTAGGGGTGTGGATGGAGATTTGCTCGGACTCGGGTGCCACAGCATCGTGTGACCTCAGGCCTGGCTGCTGCACATGGCAAGGGCCCTGGGCTGGGTCCCAGGGGAGGACACCTGGGAGGAGCTCGGGAGGGACCATGATTGGCTCGCTGGCCGCCCGCTGAAAGGTCTGTGGTTTCCTCGGGAGGAAGGGATCAAAGCCTCAGGGACGTGTGGGCAGTTCCTCTGGACAACTGGACAGTGAGAGCCTGATTTAGGGACGTGTGGGCAGTTCCCCTCAGTTTGGTGGGGTCACTGTGAGTCCAGTCAGTTGGAGAGCAGTGACTTGGGTCGGGGACATGTGGGCAGCTCCCCTCTGTCTGGCAGGGTCACTGAGTCCAGTCAGCTAGACAGCTGGAAGGCAGAGGTTTGGTTTGGTGTTATGACCCCTGAGGTCACAGTGGTAAGTGCTCACGAGGGTCAGCAGCGTGTGTCTGCCCAGTGGCTCCCCGGGTGAAGGGCCTGGTGGTCTCTCACGGAGCCCTCCTGCTGCCTTGGTGGCTGCCTGGTCTCACACGCCAGGATGTCTTCCAGGCTTACACCGTGACTGGCTTGCTTTTGGAGAGGCAGCGGGACCACGGAGGACACAGGCTTGGAGCCACCCCACCCCTTTAAGATGTACTTTTGATGAACCTTTGCTTTAGACCTGTCACCTAAGTGGACACTGACCTGCAGGGCCCCGAGGACTGCAGTGGGACAGCTCACCGCACAACCCCTCCTCACCTCCTGGTCTGCCTCCCTCTCCCAGGTTCCGAGGGCAAGGACCATGTTCAGAAGGTGGAGCACGCCCACCAGCTCGCCAGCAGCCTGCCAGCCCCTCCCCAGCTGCCGCTGCCCGAGATCCCACAGCCCTGGCTGGTGAGTGCTGGCCAGGCCCACGACTGCGGGCCTAGGGGGGTGGAGGCCTCGCTGCCCAGGGCAGGCCAGTGTCTTCTCCGGGACCTCAGCACCTGCAGTGGTGCAGTGGTCAAAGCTGGCTGCTAGTCCAGAGGTAAGCAGGTTGAGACCACCATCCTCTCTGAGGGAGAAGGTAAGTCCACCTGCTTCTGTGATGGTGACACCCACAGACGGGGGCAGGTCCCCTCTGCCCTGCAAGATCCCCGAGTTGGGGCTGATTCCTCGGTGGTCTGTGCTGGAGCAGTTACCAGAACCAAGGTGGCAGGGTGCTGGGCACGGGGCTGCAGTCCCAGTGTTCAGAGACACGGTGGGAAAGGCCTAGGGTCTGCTTGTGAGGAATCAGGCACAACCATGCTGATGTCCAGTTCTGCCCTGACACACACGGGGCCCTGTGAGCCACTGTGAAGGAGTGCAGGCAGCGTGTGGACAGCTGTAGATGACCTGAGTCCACAATGGGAAACTGCCCACCGCCCCATCCACAGCACAAACCAGGTCCTGGGAGGTCAGACATGCCCCTCTCCCCAGGCTTCTGCACCTCTGTCTACGAATCCCAACACCAACCCTTACTGCTCGGCTGGGTCCAAACAGCACACAGACCTCACAGAACCACACTCCCAGTTCTGGGGTTTATTGGGGAGGTTAACAGGATAGAGTTGAGGGTGGCAGCAGGACACCCCTCAGCCTCCAGTCTCACAGTTTTCGGTCAGTGTTACTAAGCTCTTGGTCCTGCAGTCACGGTGTCCCCCTCTTGTCCTCCTGCAAGCTTGTGTGACCGCTCCGCACGCTGATTCCATGGGGCAGCACCTCCCCTCCGTCTAACACCAGGTCTCTGGCTCTGCTGGGGCTGCTGCTCCTGCAGGCTCTGGTCTGAGCGGCTTAGGAGACGTCGGCGCAGAGGACTCACACTCGACGTCCTTCGCTTTTCTTCCTTGGCTGTGATAGCCCTGAATTCTGCTGCCGAATCCACTCTGTTCAGGGGGAGACTGACTGATCCCCAGTGGATAGACTAACACATCTGCATATCCCCGCCCACCCACATGGCAAAGTCAAAGTCAACGGCCAGGTGAGCCGTTCTGAGCAACACACCCTTACCCCCACAGCTGGCGTCAGCTTTGGGTCCATGCCACCTGGTAGCTCGTGTCACACGCACCCAAGACACTGTGCGTAGATCGCCAGGCCTCTCCTCGGGGTGCCTCGGGGACCTGGGCCCCCAGCTCTGCTCACACGCCTCTCCTTGGGATGCCTTGCAGACCTGTGCCCCCAGTCTGATCATCACGCCTCTCCTCAGGGTGCCTCGGGGACCTGGGCCCCCAGCTCTGCTCACACGCCTCTCCTTGGGATGCCTTGCAGACCTGTGCCCCCAGTCTGATCATCACGCCTCTCCTCAGGGTGCCTCGGGGACCTGGGCCCCCAGCTCTGTCTCAGCGCCCAGGGTGGACTGTTTGCTGTAGTTTGAGTTGTGTCTGCTCCACTATGAACACAGTTTACTGCCTGGCTCAGCAGGCCCTTTGACCCCTGATGTCCCCTTCCTCACACACCGATGCAGACGACGTGGGGACCCAAGCCGGCCAACAGGACAGAGCCCGCTGGTCACTATGTCCTCACCCTGCTTGGCCACTGGTGGCTCTCTGACACTTCCTTCGCGTCTACTCTGGCCTCATGCCATCCAGGCCCCAGGTTACTGCCAGGTGGAATTGAGAATGTGCTAAAGGTTGACAGGCACTTTGGATCCTAGGAATATCCCAGGAATAACAGTGGCATTCCTAACAGGGAATTGGCAGAAGCTACACCTTCTGATTTAAATAACGTAAATGCGGGAAGAGCCTGGTTCCCCTGCGGTTGGCCTCTCAGCACGGCTGCACCTTGTCGACGGTGGTTGGTGCCATGCCTTCAGCCATAACTCCCCATTGAAGCACAGGGCTGAGCCCGCCCCGTCCTGCCCTCCCTGTCCTGACTGCCCCATCCTGACTGCCCCATCCGGACCACCCTTCTCACCGCCCTGTCCTGACTGCCCTGTCCTCACCGCCCTGTCCTGCCTGCCCTGTCCTGACTGCCCTGTCCTGCCCGCCCTGTCCTGCCCGCCCTGTCCTGACTGCCCTGTCCTGACTGCCCCGTCCTGCCCGCCCTGTCATGCCTGCCCTCACCACCCCCACCCTGGTCACTGGGAGCACTGGCAGCTGGGCTCCTTTGAAGGCCTTGCACAGCTCCGGTGAAGATGAGGACATATTTTTAAGTAGCCCTGGGGCTCCTTAGTGCACAGCTGCTAACAGACAGAAAGGCCCACCTGAGGCACCTCAGAGTAAAGGCCTGGTGGTCTGCCTCCTAAACCAGCTCTAGCCACCCTGTGGGGCGCGGCGCTGACACACATGGCCACGCAAGTCCACTAGCTGAGATGAGGAGGGAGGGTGGGCATAAGCCATGGAGCCCTTCTCCCATCACCTCCTGGAGAGCATCCAGGTGACACGAAAGACCCTGGTGGTGCCGTGGCTGACGCAGCGGCTCTAACCCCCAGGACAGTGGTGTAAGCCCACCAGCTGTGGGAGGAAGCAGGCAGTGTGCATGAGGTCCTAGTGACCTGCTGCTGCCTCATGTGCTTTGGGCATGTTGTCAGGAGAGGCTGGTCCATGGAGAGGGACAGTGAAGGAGGGAAGGAGGGAAGGAGGGAAGACCCTCACTGACACAGTGACCGTGGCCATGGGCTCAGGTGTGTCAGAGCTGGTGAGGATGGCACAGGTCAGGGCAGGGCTCAGGGCACGACAAGGCAAAGGCAGGATAGGGCACAGGGCAGGACAGGGCAGGACAGAGCACAGGGCAGGGGCCCAGGGCAGGACAGGGCATAGGGCAGGACAGGGCATAGGGAAGGACAGGGCATAGGGCAGGGCACAAGGGCTCAGGACAAGATAGGGCACAGGGCAGGACAGGGCTCAGGACAGGACAGGGCTCAGGGCAGGGGCACAGGGCAGGACAGGGTATAGGTCAGAACAGGGTACAGGTCAGGACAGGGCACAGAGCAGGACAGGGCAAAGGGCGGGACAGGGCTCGGGACGGGACAGGGCACAGGGAAGGGCACAGGGCTCAGGGCAGGAGAGGGCTAGGGCACAAGACAGGGCTCACGGTAGGACAGGGCTCACGGTAGGACAGGGCTCACGGTAGGACAGGGCTCGGGGCGGGACAGGGCACAGGACAGGGCACAGGGCTTGGGGCGGGACAGTGCTCGGGGCGGGGCAGGACAGGGTTCAGGTCTGTTGTTCAGAGGGTCTTAGAAGTTGTACTGGACTTGACGGCACCTAACAACAGCGACTCTCCCCCTCCCCCGCCTGCCCCTTCCACACAGCATGTTAAATGGAGAACACACGCCTCTCTCCTTTGGGGCTGCTGGTGGATCCGAACCACAGGAGACGTGCAGCCTGGGCTTAGCAGCGTGCCTCGCTGTGTCCTGCTGCAGCCTCGGATGCCCCCGGCGCACACGCGTGCCCTTGTGTCAGCTGGAAGCACGCTGGAGAGGGTTCTGTCCACGAGGGATGCGCTGTGCACTCGTCCCCCTGTGCGCATGCCCGCTGACTTCTGCCTTGTCCAGCTCATTCTGGAGCTGTGGACACGCCCGTGATGGAAAGCTTTCCCATCGATGATCTCATTGGCTATTTTTAGCTAACGTGCGTAATTACAGCCCAGAAGCCTGTAATCCCCCTCAGCTGGTCCTTTCTGCGGACATGCGCCCTGCCAAGCTTTGGGGTCCCTGGCTCTGTCCTCTGGCTTGGCGACTATCTTCCCAGAGTTACTCTAGGAGTCCTGGTGGTGGTGTGGATTAAGTGTTAAGTGAAGGGTCAGCAGTTCAAACCCAGCAGTAGCTCACAGGAGAGAGATGAGGCTTCATCCCTGGTGCTGTGAGGTGGGGGCTTCACCTGGTGCCGTGGAGGGGCACCTCCTGGTGCCGTGGAGGGGCACCTCCTGGTTCTGGGGGGGCTCCACCTGGTGCCATGGGGGTCTCTACCTGGTGCTGTGGGTGGCCACCCCCTCGTGAGCGGTCAGTTAGGGTGGGTTGCCAGAGTCCTCAGCTGGAAGCGCCTTCCAGTGCAGTTTATTAGTCACGTGGTCATGTGTTCCTGCCTCACCTCTCATTTACTTGCCCCCCCCACCCCCCATTCCTTGGCTTGTTCGTGAGTGGGTTAACCCAGCCACTCCACTTCTGCCCGCTGAGTCGTTCACAGAACCGGTCGGCATCCGGGCACCCTTCCTTAGTTTGACTGTCACTTCATGTGTCTGTGTGCTTGCTTTTCCGGTCATTCCTTCATCCACCTCATCCCTAGTCCATTGTGTGCCCACTGGTTCCCTCACCCATCTGCTCATTCATTCATTCATTCCTCTGCTCATTCATTCATTCCGTCAGTCATGCCGTAGCTTGTTCCCTGGCCCGTTCACTCACGCACACCCTCACTTGTTAATCCGTCCCATTGTGGCTTCATTCACTCATCTGTGTGCCTGCTCATTCATTCATTCATTCATTCATTGTCCCAGTCACTGTCCACTCCCCCCTCCTCTCCTCTCCTCTCCCCTTTTCCCTCTCTCCCCCAAGCCTGTCCCTTTCTCTCTCCCCCACTCCCTTCCTCTCTCTGTCTCTCCTCTTCCTCTCCCTTTCCCTCCCTCCCTCTCCTGGAGTCAGGCCTCCACCTTGCCTTTGACTTCAGCATCTCTGAGCAGCCTGGTCCAGGCTGAGGGCAGGTGAGAATCCTCTGAGCTGACAGAAGCAGACCTGGGTTGTTTTATCAAAAGAGTTAGTGGAAGTTGTTGTTGTTATGTGCCGTCGAGTTGTTTGCGACTCATAGCAACCCTATGTACAACAGCCCTAAACCCTGCTCTATCCTGTGCCAATCTCATTGCCTCTGACAAACCCATCCCGAGTACCCCAGTCACTGAATCAATCCACCTCATAGAGGGTCTTCCCCTCCTGCGCTGTCCCTCCA